ATTTATTTATTTGAAAGGCAGAGTTACACAGAGAGAGAAGGAAAGGCAGAGAGAGAGAGGTCTCCTATCCACTGGTTCACTTCTCAATTGGCTGCAAAGGCTGGAGCTGTGCTGATCCGAAGCCAGGAGCCAGGAGCTTCTTTCGGATCTCCCACATGGATGCAGGGGCCCCATCAACCACTGCCTTCCCAGGCCACAGCAGAGAGCTGGATTGGAAATGGAGCAGCTGGAACTTGAACCAGTGCCCATATGGGATGCCAGGTGGTGGCTTTACCTGCTATACCACAGTGCCGGTCCCATAAATTCATCTTTTAATTTTACCATTCTGTGAACCTTTTGAAGTAACCTTGTAGTACCTACTTCATTGGGTTATTGTGAGGAGTAAAGAAGTAAATATCTATAAAATACTAGAGTGTCTGTCATAGAGCAAACACTATATAAGTGTTAGCTGTGTTCTTACTACATACAAAAATAATTAAAACACAATAAAGAAAAATCACACACTGAACACAACACAAAAGGCTAAAGTTTTTTGGAAGGTCTAGAGAAAAAACTAGGATTCCTTACTGAAAAGATCCCAATAGACCACGAGAAAATCAGAAAGAATTCCATCACACTGTAATAGCATGAACACAGACAGAGACAGCAAAAATGGAAAAAAGGAAAATACTAGTGGACAACACTAGAAAGATAGGTTAGGGTCGAATGAATTATACAGATTCTTTAATGCTGAAGTGATGGATTTGAACTTGAATTGGTGAATATGAAATCTTTTTAGGATTGATATAGGGAAATGGCATGAAAACATAGGAGGATCTCTGCTTGGATGGATGGAAAGGATATGAAGGGCCGGTGCTGTGGAGCAGCAGGTTAACACCCTGGCCTGAAGTGCCGGCATCCCATATGGGCGCCGGTTCGAGACCTGGCTGCTCCTCTTCTGATCTAGCTCTCTGCTATGGCTTGGGAAAGCTGTAGAAGACGGCTCAAGTCCTTGGGCCCCTGCACCCACGTGGGAGACCCGGAAGAAGCTCCTGGCTTCAGATCAGCACAGCTCCGGCCGATGAGGCCAGCTGGGGAGTGGACAAGCAGATGGAAGACCTCTCTCTGTCTCTCTCTCTCTGCCTCTCCTCTATGTGTAACTCTGACTTTCAAGTAAAAATAAATAAATCTTTTTTTTTTTTTTAAGAAAGGATATGAGAAGGTACAGCTGAAGAATAAGGAGATTTCTATTTTTCTTCCATGGAGGTAAAGAAGGGAATTTATTCATGTGTCAATCTATTTCAATGATTTTATACACTTTTTAATATTATGGCACTTTTTCATAAGGTTGATTTAAGATCAAATGAGATGACATGTCTAGAAGCAGTTTATAGGCTAAAAGTTCTTTAAGAAGTGCTATCATCAGTACCTTCATTATTGCTATAAGGGAATTTTTTTTTAATCTTTAAGAAAAGTACTACAGAAATGAATAATAAAAGATGGGTGTAGCAGGTTAAGCTGACATATGCAATGCTGGCATCCCATATCAGAGTGTTGGTTACAGTCCTTGCTACTCTGCTTCTGATACAGCTTCTTACTAATGCATTTGGGAAAGCAGTGGAAGATGGCTCAAATACTTGGATTCCTGCTACCCAAGTGGGAGACATGGGTGAAATTCTAAAATTCCAAGTTCCTGGTTTTGGTCTGGTTTAGTCCCAGCTGTTGTGGGCACTTGGAGAATGAACCAGCAGACAGAAGATTCTCTCTCTCTCTTTCTCTATCTTTCCTTCTCTTTGTTACTCTGCCATTCAAACAAATACCTTTTTTTGCCAGTACCACTGCTCACTTGGCTAATCCTCTGCCTGCAGTGCTGGCACACCGGGTTTTAGTCCCGGTTGGGTGCTGGATTCTGTCCCGGTTGCCCCTCTTCCAGGCCAGCTCTCTGCTGTGGCCCGGGAGTGCAGTGGAGGATGGCCCAGGTCCTTGGGCCCTGCACCCGCATGCGAGAACAGGAGGAAGCAACTGCCTCCTGGCTTCAGATCAGCACAGCGCGCTGGCCGCAGCACGCCGGCTGTAGTGGCCATTTGGGGGGTGAACCAATGGAAAAAGGAAGATCTTTCTCTCTGTCTCTCTCTTTCTCTCTCTCACTAACTCTGCCTGTCAAAAAAAAAAAAAGAATAAAACAAATACTTTTTTTTTAATAAAAAGAAAAATGAGGGGGCTGGCACTGTGGGGCAGCAGTGCTGCCATCCCATATGGGCACAGGTTTGGGTCCCAGGTCTTTGCTAATGCACCAGGGAAAACAGCAGAGGATGGCCCAAGTCCTTGGGCCCCTGCACCTATGTGGGAGACCTAGAAGAAGCTCCTGGCTCCTGAGTTTTGCCTGGATCAGCTCCGGCCATTGCAGCCATTTAGGCAGTGAACCAGCAGATGGAAGACCGATCTCTCTCTCTAACTCTGACTTTCAAATAAATTAATTGACCTTAAAAAAAAAAAAGGTGGTGGAGGGGTGCTGGCGCTGTGTCATAGTGGGCTGAGCCTCTGCCTGTGGTACTGGCACCCAATATGGGCACTGGTTCATATCTCAGCTGCTCTTCTTCGGATCCAGCTCTCTGCTTGTGGACTGGGAAAGCAGTAGAAGATGGCCCAAGTCCTTGGACCCCTGCATCCACCTGGGAGACCCAGAGGAGGCTCCTGGATCCTGGCTTCAGACTGGTCTAGTTCTAGCCTTAGCAGCCATTTGGGGAGTGAACTAGCAGATGAAGACCTTTCTCTCTGTCTCTTCCTCCCTCACTCTATATCTCTACCTCTCAAATAAATAAATAAAAAGAAAGAAAGAGAGGAGGGAGGGAGGAGAGAGAGAGAGAGGGAGGGAGGGAGGGAGGGAGGAAGGAAAGAAGGAGGGAAGGAGGGAAAGAAGGAAGAAAAATGAGGGGCTGGTGTTATGGCAGAAGAGGTTAGCCTCCACTTGCAGTGCTGGCATTCCATAAAGGCACCAGTTCATATACTACCTGCTCCATCTCCAATTCAGCTCCTTGCTAATGGGCTTAGGAAAGAAGTGGAGAATGGCTTAACTGTCTGGGCCCCTGCCTCTATGTGGGAGACCTGGAAGAAGTTCCTGGCTCCTGGCTTTAGCCTGGCTAAGACCAGGCTGTTGCAACCATTTGGGGAGTGAACCAGTGAGTGGAAGATATCTTTCTCTTTCTCTCTGTCTCTTCCTCTCTGTAACTCTGCCTTTCAAATAAATAAATCTTAACAAAACAAAAAACTAAAATGTTCAGGTATCATGGAGCAATTACCAATATTTTTATAAAAGGTAAGAGGTGCAGCTTCAGTATCTGTATATCTAACAAAAATTTAAATATGTCACAATCAAGGAGAAAAGTCCAACAATGTTATACCACAGGCCGACTGGGAAATTTCCTGTCCTTTACTAGTTAACGGTTTCTTAGGTGGGATTCCTATCATTCTCTATAAAAAGACACAAAAGGTATGCATACAGAAGCTGGCACTTTATAATGAAATACGACACAAAAATGTGCCTAGTAACAAAGAACCAAGAATGAAGACTAGGCCTATGCAGACTACGATCAAACCACAGAAAAATGTATATGGATCCATATACCTTACCACAGTCCTAGTATCACTGAAGAAGGAGATGGCTCCACTTGGGTAAAGTTGATAGTCTATGTAGATAACAACACATTTCAGTGACCTTAGCAACACTCGTTCTACAAAGATGAAACCCTTAACACAGAACTTGACAATTTGGATTGCTATAAAAGTAATTTTAGTCTGTGATAAAATCATCATAATCAATTTAGGGAGGTAGTATGTTTTACTGAAGAGCATGAGCTTTGGAACTAGGGGATCAGTGTTCAAATTCTATATCTATCATTTTCTACCTAAACATTCTTTTTTTAAAATTTATTTTTGAAAAGATTTATTTATTTATTTGAAAGGCAGAGTTACAGAGAAGGAAGGAAAGACAGAATGAAAGAGAGATCAATCTTCTATCTACTGATTCATTCCAGTGGCCACAACAGTTGGGGCTGGGCCAGGGTGAAGCCAGGAGCTTGATCCAGGTCTCCCAAGTGGGTGGCAGAAGTCCAAGTACTTAGGCCATGTTCCTCTGCTTTTCTAAGGTGCATTAGCAGGTGGGCTGGCAGTAGAGCAACAGGGACTCAGACAGGTGCTCATATGGGAGGCCGCTGTTGCAGGGGCTTAGCCTGCTGCACCATAATGTTGGTCCCAACCTCAACGTTCTTGATCCATTCAGTCAATATTTTACTAAATTAAAGTGAAATGTCTAAACATTTGCTTTCTCATTGGTAAGATACACTAAACCTTTTAATGTTGATTAGAGTACCAAATCAAAATGTGAAAGCTTGTGTAAAGGAGCTCTTTAAAAAGGCTAATTTATAGGAATGTTAATTTTTAAGGTCCTGAAAACTGTTATTTGTAACTTGATCACCTCTTCTGGGAATTACCAGAACTTTATAACTTAAAGTTATTAGCTGTACTGCCTGGATTCTGGTTGAATCGTGTCCCCTAGGGTCAGGGGTCAAACAACAGATATATTACAGCAGAGAAAGGAAGAAAGCAAAGAAAACCTCCCAGGAATCAAAATGACCGGCACCATTCACTATTCCAAGAATTTGGGAAATTCCATGATTTATCAGCACTGTGTGACTGGACTGATCCTATTGCTAGATCGATTTGTATCCCCTTCCCTACTAAGAGGAATACTTGTTAATGGAGGAAGAAGGTGGCACTATGTTAGTAATCTAACAAATAAGGTTTCAGTAAGTACCAGAATATTCTAAATGGCTAATAACCTCTCAGAAGAGTTATGAAGAATACAAATAAGCCCAAGTTAAAAGGTTCCCAGTGATTTCAGAATTTCTAATAAAAATCAATCACTGCCCAAATTAGCAGCAAAACAAATTCTGATCCATCACTTCTCTCACTCATGAACTAGAGCTATGAAAAGTGAAAAAAGAAGTAAAGTGAACACTCACCAACTTGTGAAGTAAGTCATCTGTCTTACTGTGCTGAGAAAAAAAAATCCAATTTTTGATAGTTTCTATTACTTTTAACAGGATGCCTTGCTGAAAGAGATGAATTATATTGTATAGGATTATTAAACTACAGATAGCAAACAAATTCTAATAACTTATCTCTAATTAATCAGAATTTTTATCAGAAAAGGCAGCAAACAATCACCAAAGCTACATGCTTTGTCAATGTCTCACTTTTCTTGTTAGTTCCCAAATGTAGTTGCACATTAGAATCACCTGGAGATTTTAATTAGAAACATACTCCTGACGGATGCTGCGGCTCACTAGGCTAATCCTCCACCTGCGGCGCCGGCACACCGCGTTCTAGTCCTGGTCGGGGCGCCGGATTCTGTCCAGATTGCCCCTCTTCCAGGCCAGCTCTCTGCTGTGGCCCGGAAGTGCAGTGGAGGATGGCCCAAGTGCTTGGGCCCTGCACCCCATGGGAGACCAGGAGAAGCACCTGGCTCCTGGCTTCGGATTAGCGCGGTGCGCCTGCCACGGCGCACCGGCCGCAGCGGCCATTGGCGGGTGAACCAACGGCAAAGGAAGACCTTTCTCTCTGTCTCTCTCTCTCTCTCTCACTGTCCAACTCTGCCTGTCTGTCAAAAAAATTAAAAAAAAATTCAATAAAAAGTCTCCTGGGGTCCCAAACTAAAGATTTTGATTCAATAGGTTTGGAATGAGACTAGAAATATGATTCTTGGAGTAGTCAGAAGTCTACATTCTGATGCACCCCATTTATTTTGGGAACACTATATGCTATCTACATTAATATGATGACAGCATTTATTTCAGAATGAAAGCTACCATATGCTCCATGTTTTCAAATATTAAGACTACTTCATTCTACAATACTAAAGCAGAAGGATTTTTTAATTTTTGTCTAATAGAAACATTTTATTTTAAAAGTTTTAGACTTTTATTTAAAAACATTTTCTTTTTTAAATTTTGCATTAACAAGAACTACATGTATATTTTATGAGGTATGGTGAATATTTCCTCAAATATACACAGCATAAAGCAATCAAAAGGCAATTAGCCCTTCCATTTCTTTAGCACACACTATAATTACCCTACTGGTCTACAGAACACCAGAACCAATAACTTTTGCCCACGTGCATGTTGGTACTCATTATCATTAACCTCCACCCTTCCCAATCTCTAATAATCACTAATTTATAACCACATACACCGTATGTGTATTCTAAACTTTTACATTTGACAGAAAGCATGCACTTATTTGACTTTTCTGTATCTTGCTTATTTCATTTTATCATAATGATCTCCAGTTCTATCCATTTTATTCCAAGAAGGATTTATTCTTCTTTTTTTATGACCAATATTCCACTCTGCATATATACACAACATTTTCTTTATTCACTCATCCACTGATAGATACCTAGGCTGATTCCATATCTTGACTATTGTGGTTACTGCTGCAATGAATATGGAAGTGCAGATATCTCCTTCATATGTTGAACTCATTTCCCAGAAAAGATATTTGAATCATTTTACAAAAACTGTCATAGAATGAAATAAAAGTTGTTTTTTTTTTTTTTTTTTGGACAGGCAGAGTGGACAGTGAGAGACAGAGAGAAAGGTCTTCCTTTTGCCGTTGGTACACCCTGCAATGGCTGCCGCAGCCGGTGCGCTGTGGCCAGTGCACCGTGCTGATCCGATGGCAGGAGCCAGGTACTTATCCTGGTCTCCCATGAGGGTGCAGGGCCCAAGCACTTGGGCCATCCTCCACTGCACTCCCTGGCCACAGCAGAGAGCTGGCCTGGAGGAGGGGCAGCCGGGACAGAATCCGGCGCCCCGACCGGGACTAGAACCCGGTGTGCCGGCGCTGCAAGGCGGAGGATTAGCCTAGTGAGCCGCGGCGCCGGCAAAGGTTTTATTATCTAGAAAAATTTTATGTATTTATTTTTATGTATTTGGGAGGCAGAGAGACTCAGGCACAGGGAACAAGGGAGGGAAAGAGAGTGAGAGCAAGAAAGAGAAAGACACGCGTGCGCGCGCGCGCGCACACACACACACACACACAGACTTCCCAGCTGCTGGTTTACTCCTCAAATGCCTGCAACCGCTGGGGTGGGGCCAGGCTAAAGGCAAGGGCAGAAGACCCACATGGGTGGCAGGGATCCAGATACTTGAGCAGTCACTTGCTGCTTCCTAGGAAGCTGGACTTGGGAGTGGCTGCATAGACTGGAACGTAGTAACTCTGACATGGAACATGGGTATCCCAAGTGGTATTTTCAACATTATGCCAAATGCCTGCCCCAGTTTTATTACCGAATCAACTAAAAATCAATTTTCCTTAATAGCCCACTCCTTAAGCATGCCAGTAAATGCAGTTTATAATCACTGAAGGATTACTATATCCCAGATACTACAAAGGGCCATGGGAACAAAAATTATTCATAATTGCTGTTTTCAGGAACTTAGTGTAGAAGAAACATTACAAATAATTACAAACCAGTGTAAAGTCTGGAAAACTATGGGCAAAGAGGAGGCCAGAAAGGAGCAAACACTGAAGCTAAGCCCTAATAGATAAGTAGAGATTCAACAAAGGAGGGAAGAACATTCCAGGCAAGGTAACAGAATAAGCAAAGGAGAGCCATGACAGCACATGCCATAACAGCACATGCCCTGGAGAAGGAGGCATAGTCTGGGGCTATTATGAGCAAGGGGAGATAGGATTAGTAAAGAGGTTAAAAAACGGATGTTAAATCCCATACTAGTTTATACTTCACTCTATAGGCTGTGAGAGCCACCAAATTTTTTATAAGTAAATAAATAAATCTTTTTATAAAAGATTAATTTTATTATTTGAAAGACAGATTTACAGAGAGAGGTAGACACAGAGAGAGAGAGAAAGAGAGGTCTTCCATTTGCCGATTCACTACCAAGAAGGTCACTAAGGCCGGAACTGAGTAGATCCGAAGCCAGGAGCTAGGAGCCTCTTTCAGGGTGCAGGGTGCAGGGTGCAGGGGCCTAAGACCTTGGGCCATCCTCTGCTGTTTTCCCAGGCACATTAGCAGGTGGCTGGAGCGGAAATGGAGCAGCAGAGACTTGAACTGGCATCCATCTGGGATGCTGGCACTGCAGGCAGGGGCTTTAACCTGCTCTGGCACAGCGCCAGTCCCAAACTATTTTTTTTAATATTATCCTTTTTCACCTACTTGAAAGATGAAGTAACAGAGCGAGAAAAAGAGAGACAGAAACAGAGAGAGAGAGAACAATTTTCCATCTACTGGTTCACTCCTCAAATGCCTGCAACAGCCAGGACTGGGCCAGGCCAAAGGCAGGAGCCCAGAACTCCATCTGGGTCTCCCACAGGGGTGGCAGGGCCTAAGCACTGAGTATCTACTGCTTCCCAAGGTACATTAGCAGGAATCTGGGAATTGAACCAACTGCTTCCCAAGGTACATTAGCAGCAGCTGGGAATTGAACCAACACTCAGATATGGGATGCCAGCACTGTACAATGCCTGCCCCTGTACATAGAAGTTGAAATAACAAAATCAGCATTTTAGAAAAATAACTGGCCACTAGGTGTATTGGCAGAGAGTGACTGTAGGCAAGTTGCATGATTAGGAGAGTATTTAATAGTCCACCTAAATAATGGTAAAGGTCTAAATTAGATAATGAATGCAAAAATGATAAAGAATAAGGGTTAGACTTAAAAGCATAGAAGTTGACTTGATATATCATTTAGTGCCAAAGCAACATGAGAGTGATTGGAAATGATAAGATAACTGAGAGAGTGGCAATATGGGAATACAGAAAGAAGATTCTGTTTGTTTTGGAAGTAGCTGGGGGGAAAAGTTCAGTTTGGGACAACTGAACTTGAGCATACCAGGTTTATGCAGTTAAAAATATCTTACAAGCACTTGAAACTCAGAAAAACCTCAAAAATGAACATAAGCTTTTGTTGTTATTGTTAAATATTTACTTATTTATTTGAAAGGCAAAGTTATAGAGAGGGAGAGACAGAGATCCTCCATCCATTGGTTTACTCCCAAGATGGCTGCAACAGCCAGGGCTAAGCCTGGCCAAAGCCAGGACCTTTATCCAGGTCTCCCATGTGGGTAGCAGGGAATCATACACTTGAGCCATCTCCTGCTGCCTTTTCCAGGCCGTTAACAGGGAGCTGTATCAGAAGTGGAGCAGCCAGGACAGCAACCAGTGCCCATATGGGATGCCAGCGTCTCAGGTATCAACTTTAACCATTAATCAACACAAGCCCCATGGACATAAGTTATTAATGAAAGCAAAAAAGTAGATGAGATCGCCCAGAGAACACAGAAGAAGAAATCAGGCCTCATGCTAAAACCTATGGGAGAAACATTTAATAATAATCAGGGGTGGGTGTTTGGTACAGCGGTTAAGTAACTTCATGGGAGGCCCACATTCCACATTGGAGGGGCTTGGTTCAATCCGGGCTCTACCCTTCATTCTAATATTCCTGCTAATGTGCACCTTGGAGGCAGCAGGTGATGATGGCTCTAGTACTTGGGTCCCTGCCACCCATGCGAAAGACCTGGATTGAATTCCAGGCTTCAGACATTAGCTTGACCCAGCTCTAGCTGTTATGGGATGTTTGAGCAGTGGGAGATCTCTCTGTCTCTCTGCCTCTCAAATAAATAAATAAGCAAATATTAACAGAATAATCACAGGAAAACAAACCAGGAAAAACAGAGAATTACTATTCCTAGTAGAAATACCAGTAAAGAATACATAATAAGTATGTAAAAATTAAAGTTTACAGAAAGTTAAAAAGAGAAGGTAATTAAGCTTATGACTGTTTCACCAAGATCTCATAGGCATTTAAAAATTGTTTTCTAAGAAAATAACCAATACTTTACTACTTAAGCAGGAATTTTGGGAGCAACTTGAAAAATATACTATTTGGGGCCAGCATTGTGGTGTAGTAGATTAAATCACTGCTTACTTACAACTCCAGCACTGTATCAGTTTGCCAGTTTGAGCTCTGCTTTTGATCCAGCTCTCTGCTAATGCTCCTGGGAAAGCAGCATTAGCAAGTACTTGGGTCCCCAGCACCTTAGTGGAGGACCAGCACAGGGTTCCTGGCTCTTAGTTTCAGCCTAGTCTGGTCCGAGCTCTTACAGGCATTTGGGTAGTACAGCAGCAGGTGGAAGATCTTTCTTGTAAATAAATAAGTAAATTCTAAATCTGTATATATATATATATATATATACACACACACACACACACACACACACACATATACATACACATATTCTTTGATTCGAACTTAAAAAACAATTCTACAAATCTTTCCAAAATACAGCTGTCCCCAGATTTAGAAAAAAATCTATTTTAGAAAAATATAACTCAAAAAAAAAAAAAAGAAAAATATAACTCATCTAGTTAAAAATTTATCTTAGAAATATACAATGTAAAGATTAAATAGGGATCAGTGCTGTGGCTAAAGCCTTGGCCTGAAGCACCGGCATCCCATATGGGTGCTGGTTTGAGTCCTGGCTGCTCCTCTTCCAATCCAACTCTCGGTTATGGCCTGGGAAAGCAGTAGATGGCCCAAGTCCTTGGGCCCCTGCACACAAATAGGAGACCCAGAGGAAGCTCCTGGTTCTTGACTTTGGATCAGCTCAGTTCCAGCCGTTGCAGTCATTTGGGGCATGAACCAGCAAATGGAAGACCCCACACTCCTCTCTCTGTTTCTATCTCTCTCTGTAACTCTGCCTTTCAAATAAATAAAAAAAAGTCTTTTAAAAAGATTAAATCAACTTTTTAGGCATATGGTAATTTTTTAGAATAACCTCTGGCTGTGCTTTCTACTGTTACTCAATTTCTGGGGGAGGAGGTGGATACAATTTTTAATTCCTTATTTGATTTGTTTATAAATTAACATTTCTATAAATAAAAATAATTGTAATAAATGAATTAAATACTTACAAACCCCAAATTTTGTACCAAACAAAAAATTTGACATCAGTGCCCATCTCCAGACCCAAGACTGTCCTTTGGCCATTCTTTCTTATGTTGCCAAGTAATCTCCAATCCACACTTTAATCTGTAAAGAGCCTATTAGATATATCTTTAGGTTTTGCTTTCAGAACTTTCTGAGGAACATCCATACTTGAAAAGGACAAGTGGAAAAGCCTAAGTGGAGTCCCAGAAGCTTTACTTCCAATCTAGCTCCCTGATAACAAGCCTGGGAAAGCAGAGGAAGATGGCCCAAGTGCTTGAGTCAAAAGAAGTATTATTTGCTTTTTTATCATTTGTGCTCTCTTAAAAAGCAGATTTAAAGAAAAAAATTCCTCGGAGGCCGGCGCCATGGCGCAGTAGGTTAATCCTCCGCCTGCAGCATAAGCACCCCATATGGGCACTGGTTCTAGTCCCAGCTGCCTCTCTTCCAATCCAGCTCTCTGCTATGGACTGGGAAAAACAGTAGAAGATGGTCCAAGTACTTGGGCCCCTGCACCCACGTGGGAGACCAGGAAGAAGCACCTGGCTCCTGGCTTCAGATGGATGCAGCTCTGGCCCTTGCGGCCAATTGGGGAGTGAGTCAGTGGATGAAAGACTTCTGTCTCTCTCTGCCTCTCCTCTCTCTGTGTAACTCTGACTTTCAAAATAACTAAATAAATCTTTTTAAAAAAAAGGAAAAAAAATCCTCAACAGAATATTTCTATTGGGTTCTTTTATTTTTTTAAAGATTTATTTATTTTATTTGAAAGTCAGAATTATAGGGAGAGAGAAAGAATTTTCCATCCAGTGGTTCATTCCCCAAATGGCCAAATGGCCAGGGCTGGGTTAGGCCAAAGCCAGAAGCCAGGAGCTTCATCCGGTCTCTCACACAGGTACGGGGTATAAGTGCTTGAGTTGGCTTCCACTGCTTCCCCAGGTGTGTTAGCAGGGAGCTGGATAGGAAATGGAGCAGCTGGGACTCAAACCCGAGCCTATATCAGATGCTGGCACTGCAGACGGCAGCTTATCTCGCTGCACCAAAGCACTGGCCCCTTTATTGGGTTCTTTTTTTTTTTTTTTTTTAAAGACTTTTTAAATTTATTTGAAAGAGTTACAGAGAGATGTAGAGCCAGAAAGAGAGAGGTCTTCCTACCACTGGTTCACTCCCCAAATGGCCACAATGGATGGAGCTGAGCTGATCCGAAGCCAGGAGCCAGGAGGTTTTTCTGGGTCTCCCACATGGGTGCAGGAGCCTAAGGACTTGGGCCATCTTCTACTGTTTTCCCAGGCCATAGCAGAGAGCTGGATTGGAAGTGAATCAGCCGGAACTTGAACCAGTGCCCATAAAGAATGCCAGTGCTGCAGTCCAGGGCTTTAACCCGCCTTGCTACAGCACCAGCCCCTCTATTAGGCTCTAAACAAGGTTTTAGTTTATTTTTTGGTTCCCCTAGGATAACTTCAATACTTTAACAAGTAATAGATTTTAATCCCAAGACATGTTTATTTCCTTGGCTTATATAATTTACCCATAAAACAGTTCAAAACAGCAACAAGAATTCAGTTTATCTGCAGAGAGTTTTATACGACTGATGAAAATAAAAAGTCTTACTGGGGCAGGTGTTTAGCCTAGCACTAACATACTGGTTAAGATGTCTCACATCGCCGTACATGGGTTCAATACTTGACTCTGCCTCCTGGCTCCAGCTTCCTGACAATGCGGACCCTGGAAGGCAGTGGTGATGGTTCAGGTGGCTGGGTTCCTGCCATCTCAGTGGAGATCTGGATTGTCTTCTCAGCTGCCAGCTTTGGCCTGGTGAAGCCCAGACCATTGTGGGCATTTGGGTAAGTTAAGCAGCAGATGGAAGCTTTATCTATCACTCTCAATATTTGCTTCTCAAGTTTATATATATACATATATATATATATACATATACACACACATATATAATATATATATATATTTATTTAAAGATTTATTTAGTTATTTGAAAGTCAGAGTTACAGAGAGGTAGAGGCAGAGGCTGAGATAAGAAGTCTATCTGAGGCCGGCACCACGGCTCAATAGGCTAATCCTCCACCTTGTGGTGCCGGCACACCAGGTTCTAGTCCTGGTAGGGGCGCCGGATTCTGTCCCAGTTGCCCCTCTTCCAGGCCAGCTCTCTGCTATGGCCCGGGAGTGCAGTGGAGGATGGCCCAAGTGCTTGGGCCCTGCACCCCCTGGGAGACCAGGATAAGTACCTGGCTCCTGCCATCGGATCAGCGCAGTGCGCCGGCCGCGGCCATTGGAGGGTGAACTAACGGCAAAGGAAGACCTTTCCCTCTGTCTCTCTCTCTCACTGTCCACTCTGCCTGTCAAATGAAAAAAAAAAAAAGCCGGCGCCGTGGCTCAATAGGCTAATTCTTCCATCTTGCGGCGCTGGCACACTGGGTTCTAGTTCTCGGTTGGGGCGCC